TTTCTCGATTTTGGTTCTGTTCCATGAAAAATAGTGAGTGTCCATTTGTTCAAATTTATCCAAAATTGGCAAAATGTTTTGTAAAATATAGTCGAACTTATTATCCACACAATCATAAATTTTAGGTTAATTTTAGGGAGATCCCAGAAATTTCAGATTATTTTCCGTGCGAGGGTTTTTGCTGTGGAGCAAAAAATTTCAATATTTCGATATCTCAATATATTCAATCTATCTTATATAATAATGCTACCAATTTATTTTAAAGAATCTATTTATATAAACCTCTTCTCGTTAAGCGTTTTGTCATTTATGTCAATTTACAATATTTTCTTTTTTCGTTAACTATTCTGAACCAATGTACTAAAAGAACTCGAGGTACCTTAGGACCAACAAAGTTCTGTCAGTTGGAGTCCCAAAGTTTTCCTTATCAGTAAACTCTCATCAACACCTTGTCCATCACTCTTTCGAATTATCACCATGACCTGTCTATTCCATCACAATGAGCAGGTGCTAATCACCAATGGCCCCGTCTCCCTCTCCCCCTATTTGCCTTCATTCTTCTGCCGCTTCTTATCTGACCTTTGCATCTTTTCTGTGTGTACATAATAATTGTATCATCATCTCCTTTCCTTCATGTCCTTTTTGGCATCATTCCAACCGTTCGGCTCCCCTTTTTTGTCTCTCTTTTATGATGCCATCTCTTTCTTCTCTCTTTTTTCCTTTCCTGAGATGCCTTTTCTGGTAGTATATGCGTAGATAATTACCGTAATGAGGTAATTTGAAACATATTGACAGGCGGAGGAGGCAATATGCGCGGATGGATGCTTTCGGTTACAAGGTTAATTCTTTCTATTGTTTTTTTTTTCTTCATGAACGTCTTCTAGTGTCCTTCGGATGTGTACCACCTGTTGTTAGATCTTCTGGATTTAATCATTGGTACTGTTGCATGACAGATATTTATTGCGGAGAAAATCATGTGTATGATGATTGGTGTATGTGCAACGTTTTCCCTTTAACTTTATCGAATTTTTTTTTGCTTAAATTCATTTTTTTCAAAATACTGCCTCGAAAATGCTACTAGAAAACCTTTGACTTTTGATTTTTCGAATCGTGTTTCGAAGTTTTTTTTCCTAGAAACTAGCTCAATTTAAAACATTTTTCGATTAATTTTTTGTGGCGGTAGGCTAATTAATTTTGAACATTTTTTATTTCGACTAAAATAGTTTGAGCTATCTTTAAAAGTAGTGTTCGAATGCTTCAAATTGCATATCTTCATCTGAAATAATCTGTTTCAAAACTTTATAGAATTTTAATTGTTTTTGTTTTCGAAGATTACGCTCCTTACAATTCATCAATAGAAAGCCATCATATACTAGAACTTCGAGCTGAATTATCTCAATTTTTTCAAGAAATATAAAAAATCTGCAAATTAAAATATCTTGGTGACATTATGGCAAACATTTTACCAGTTGACAGATTTTTTATATCCCTTATGAGAAATGAGATAATTGAACCCAAAGTACATATATTGGGCTCAATTAAGTCGTTTACTGTACTTTCAGCAATTTAAAGGGTGTAGGGAAAATTTGGTTGAAACCTTTCTTAGAAAATCCCCGAAAAACTTGAATTTGTGGTCAAAGTGTCAAAATGCTCCTACCGGTTTCCGAGCGGCATAGGGTCGGGTTTAGCTCAAAACTTTCAATCAACTTACAATGTTGCGTATTCTCGGGTTCAATTAGTTGATCAATCCCCTCTACCTAATTATGACTTCTTGAAACAGAAATATTTTTTCTAACCCTTTCACACACCACCAGTCCCCCAATCCTCATCAAACTCTTATTATCATGTCAAATATTCTATTGGCACGTTCCTCCGTCCACCAATTAATTCTTCTTCTTTTTCATTTTTTTTTCCATGTCAAATGACCAATCAAAAACTCCTCTCCGATCGTCCATTCGCTAACCAAATGTGGAAACTTCGGCGACAAAACCAAACAGAGAGAGAAGCCAATAATTTTCTCGTTATTCATTTTTATGACCCTTTTTGCTTCTCCTCTTCTTTTTTTCTGGATTCAATGCGCCGCGCCAGTTTTGTCTCTCTTTGTGTGTATTGGTTCACTCCCTTCTTTAGTTTCTGCCGTTCGGAGTTTCCAGGGAAACCCAATATTTCATTCATTCTTCTCATCCTTATTGCATCTTGCCAAGTAAAATTTCCAGTTTCAGAAATTTCATGAAACTTAGAAAGTTGTTTAACTTTTATTGAACAAGCTGTTACCGCAAAATATGTATTAGAAGGTCCCCCTGTAATAGAAGGCCCCCCCCCCCCTTAATAGAAGGACCCCTTCAAAACGTGTCCTGAAATTGAAAGATTTCTGTACGTTTTCAGTGAAAAGAAAAATGGCTGGAAAAAAAAGCCCTCTAATTGAAGGATCCCTGTAATAAAAGAGCCATCCGGAGATACCTTGGAGAAATAAAAGGGCCGGCCTGTATTAGAAGGGCCGGCCCTTCTAATACAGGTTTTACGGTATATCGTAAATTTTTTAGTTTCAAAACTTTTTAATTCCTAACCATTTTTATTGAGAATTCGGTGTTCTTTTTCTCACTTTATCAAATTTTTCACTGCTATTCTCGCTAATTAAATGTAACAGAGTATTTGACAATTTTACTAGATAGATGTATGGGATCAAAACAACTGACTATTATTTATTAGAATATAGATCTAACAATTGTTTATCAATGATACAATGGTCAATTTTCGCAATACCTCTAATAAACCGGGTCGTCAACTTTCAGCCAAAATTTCCCGTTTTCTATGGAAGATCTCAAAAAATGGTCAACTGACAAATTATTCATAATGATACGAAATTTATTTTTCAGGCGAAATTTTTTCAAGGCCTCTTACTGGAACCGAGATAAATATCGTCAAAGTGGGTTAATTTTATTATGGCTTCACTAAAATTTTATATCTTCTTTTGCTCTTTTTTATGCTAGTGATTGTTATTCCTAGTCTGCCTAATCTCAAATTAGAAGTTTAGAAACTGTGAATTTTCAATATTTGTTAATTTATGAAAGTTCTGAACCTCACAAATATAAACCAAACTGTAAATAGTTTAGATACTTTGAAAAATTAGAATTTTGGTTAATTTTTAAACTTGGCACGCATTTGAAAAGTCGATAAATGTTCCTCGTTGCTAATGTTCCGGTTTCAAAAATGTTTCAATTTCTTTGATTACAAATCAATTTAAATCAATCACTGCACGATTTGATTAGATTTAAGTTAAATCAGTCAACATTATCTTTTATATGCTTCACCATTTCCCAAGCTCGAGACAAAACCTTTCACCCTTATAATTATCACTGTTTAGTTGGTGTCATAAGCTGAAAAGTTTTACTATTGTTACGTTAATTTGATTCAATAGGTCGAGAGTACATGCATTTTTGCGTGATGGTGCACATTGTTTACAACTTTCTCGTGCGGCTAACTTACCCAGTCCGTTTACGGTAGACAATCGCTGCGAACGCGTAGCTCAGCCGGTAGCGGTCCAGAGCCTCCAATTTATGAATCGCAAGTTCAACATCATGGGCCATTTTTCAGTGAATTTGAAGTATACTACTGTTTTGAATGCCTCCCTCCCTTTAAAAATTATGCTACTGTTTCATTCAATTTTTAATTTATTTGACAAAACAGGTAATTGCTCGAATAGTCAAATGTTCGGTTACCTGTTGTATTCCGGATATTTTGTGAAACAGTTCAGCCGGTCGCGGTCCAGCTTCTCCAATGTACGATCAGCAAATTAATTGGGTTAGAAAAACTTAAAATTCATCACTTTTTTCTTATGGTCTCCCTCCTCTCAAACATTTACTGTTTCTTCGACTTTTCTATAAATTAGACATTTGAGACTATAAGTCTAGTAACTGGTATATAGCTCATGCAACAAGAGGCAATTTCCATTAGTTTACATTTTCATATTTCTCCCACTTTTTATCTACACCTTCTTTCTCTGATTGTCTTTATGTTCCAAGATTAGCTCGTTCGTTTACTAACAATAAGTTTTCAGTTTCAAAAGTTTTGCGATTGCTCACATCATTGGATGTTTTTGCTACATCTAATGTTTTGGTTTTTTTGTGAAACATTTCCCTTTTACTTATGGCTACCGTACCCTCCTCAATTGGCAATTTCTAGTACGGATATCGTTCCCCTTTCGTTTTGGGTCGACATTCCTAGCAAAACTAGATGTTTACTAATTTTCGTTAATGGATCCTCCCTCCAAAAGTTTAATTTTTTTAATTTTTAAGAACTTTGACATTTCTAAATCATTCAATCTCTACGAAGCGTTGCTTGCCACACCCATTTTCCTTTATTGTCTTCTTCATATTCCAAGATTAGCATCAATATGAACTCGGTTCACTGAATACCAATTCTCGTCTTTCCTGACCGGATATCCCTCAAAAATATTCCAAAAGTTCCGTTTCCCGATTTCCGATTTTTCCCTGGAAAAATTCATAAATTCCCAAGTGTCGAATATCTCAAAAAGAGTTGTCCCTTTTCTTTTTGACATGTCACCTTTCGCGTCCTCTATTAGCTCTCCAGAGAGTCATCTCGTGGTGTCATGTCACACACATTCGTCCTCTTTTTTCTTGTCACCCTTTCCGTATATGGGAATGTGAACTTTTTTCGCATTTTCTTCTTTTTTTGGTCTACTCATGCCCAGGCCCGGACAGGATCCATCTTTACACAAAACCTTCTACTTTTCTTTCTATCTTCCTTATACCGTAAATAGAACAATACCCTATACTTGAGCTCTGTTATCTTAATCCCTGTAAGAGATATCAAAAAGTGGTAAACTGATAAAATGTTGGAGATAATAAGGCAAAACATTTTACCAGTTAACATGTTCTTGATATCTCTTATAGGAATTTTTGATAATTAAGCTCAAACTGTTTTTCTATTTTGTCCTGACTGCTCCCATTCATTTCCTCTCAATTTTTCCAATTTCCAGGATGAGACGACTCCCAATCGTCTCGATTTTTGCATTATTTGCAATAGTCGGTGCCGCCCGAGTGGACATTGATTTGATCAATGAGACAATCAGAGATCTTCTCCATTTCAAGAGTTCGGATCCGAGTGAGTTTGGAACTTTTTGTTTTTTTGCATGTTTCAATATGCTTTAATGAGTTATGGTATGATTACTGATTCATTTAGACAAATTATAGTTCAATAAGATAGTTCAATTAGTTCCCTGTTATCAGTCACACTAATTTGTATCCCAGTGAAATGAGAAATTTGAAATTTTACTGTTTCAATTTCTCTATCTCAGAACAAAATGAAACATTTAGTGGACGGTTGTGCATTACTTTTAAAACATTATTTTTGTAAATCAACAATCCTTTTTTCCAAATTCTTGAACTCGTCTAATTTATGAAACTTACAAAGAATCTCAAAAGTATTGTAGAGAACAGAAATTTCAAATTGTTCTTCAAATTTGAAAATTTTTGCACATTTTTTGTGAAAATTTTTTAATGAACACTCTTATCTTTAAAAGTTTTCCTTGATAGAAAAATTGACCATTTTTTCTATTGACCCAAAAACTTTTTTTGAAAAGTCAAGAAATTTTTTTTCTGAAAGCCCGGGCCCTGAAAATTTTGAAAAAAGCCCGGCCCGGCCCGTTATGCTCAACTGGATACAAGCTCGGCTCGTAAATCGACAAGAGCTCCGGCTTACAGATTTTTAAACACTTTTAGAAATGAAACAGAAACAGTACTGGTATTTTACCTTTGACTGAAAACTTTTATGATAAAAAACTGAACTGGTAAACATGAAACATAAAAACTTGTGTTTCTTTTTGCTCTATGAGTCATTGAAACTTTTCTGAGCTGTGAAATATGTACCGTAAACCTGTAACGTAAGAGCTCAACACTGCCACGATTGAGCTAATTTTTCTTGCTTCCCATGCGAGGTTTCAAAAAAGGGGAAACTGACGAAACACTTCTGATATTATGATGAACAATTTATCAGTTGACCATTTTTTGATATCTTTGATGAGAACTGAGAACAATTAGCTCAAAGTTAAAAGCTAAGCGATTTGTCTATAACAGGGTTTAAGGTATCTTAAATTTCTTGTGTTCTCAATTTTTTCTTCTATATTTTGATTCAAGGTGTTGTAAAAATAATGTACCACTCAAAGCACTTGAGATTTTAGTTTAGCTCATTGAGATAATAAGTGTGAAACGGAAATGTTCAAAAATTTTATCACTTTTGTCGGATATTCGGTCTTGCCTTGAGAGACGGACTTTTTCTCGTTCAACCTAGTAAATGTATGTTTTTATAAGCTTATCATCACTGAACACTGAAACAAGAGTTCATGATGACTATGAAACAGAAAACATTTGAAACAAACATTTTCCAGACATCACCACATTCCATCGTTCGTCTCATGCTCTCACCGAGCACATGAAGAATCTTTATCAGGTGAGCACTTGGTTATTTTGTATCTGTTGAATTACCGGTTGAAAAGAGAATAGGCATTTTTGCGTGACGGTGTACTCAGTGGAGCTACGTGGTCGCAGTTTGCTTCTCGTTTCAAAAATGCAACCTCAGCCGGTAGTGGCGCGGCACCTCCAAGGCTTTGCCCACAAGTTCAATTCCCCCAGGACATCACCAGAGGAAACCTTCAAAATTTTTTCTATTTTCCAGATTTTCATTGACGAAGATTTCAACGAAGATGGTAATTTGGTCCGCGCGATTGAGCCTGCTGTCGGAAAATTCGAAGGACAAGAAGTCCTAGTTTTTGATGTCGATGGATTCGACGCTCACGAATCCATAATGAGAGCTGAACTTCATTTCTATCTCAGACGACGTGACGCCTTCTCCAGCAGACGTTCTCGTCAGATTCGTGCGAAATCGATTTGTGTGAATGAGTACTGTAGGCAACAAACGTTGAAGAAGATTCGAACAAGTGGAGATGAAGAATACAAAGTGATTTGGGATGCGACAAAATCTGTATTCGATTCGTATCATTTGGACGCAAAGCAAGCGGTTTTCCGTATCACTCGAGAACATTCCAAAATGAGACCATACTCTGAAATGATCAGAAAGAGCACTCCATTCCTCGTGATCTATTCAAAAGTCAATCATACTTTGGACACGAAACAAGTCATTCAACAAACTGAGCAAACGAAAAGAAAGAGAAGAGATTTGGGAAATGAGGATTTGAGAGAATACTACACCTATAATTCCATTCCTTTGGATAACGACGAACGAGAGCCAATGAGAAGAAAGAGTGGAAAAAAGAACAGTTTGTCGGAGGAGATGTCATCTGAAGATGTTTGGCAAGGATTCGGAGAGGAAACTTCTAGAGAGGAAAGAGAAAGAAAAGCGAATGAAGAGTTGGCAAATGATGTGAGAGTTGTGTTGCTACAGAATAAGAATGTGAGTTTGAATAAAAATTTCCTACATTGCAACACAATTTTACTGCTTCAATTTTTAGATTTTAATAAAACAGAAAACGTTTTGATATTCCGATGGTTACTACTAATGCCGAATTAAAAAAAGACTAGGACCTGGAAGTTTTCGCATGCGGATTCCGTTTCGATTTTTGAGGCTTTGCCTCAAAATCACTACAGTACAAAAAAATTTATTTCTGTGAATTTAGTGGGATTTTCTTGACGAAATTTAGATTTCTTGGTATGAAAAAGCTGGCATCTCTAGAACCTGTTTTTCAACGAAAAATCGAGCCTCAAGTAGCTCGAACGTGCCGAAAGTCTGAAATATTACGATTTTCCTTTTTTTTTTCGTAGATAAAAAAAAGCGACGATTTTCAAATTCTCAGGTGCCAGTTTTTTGATTCGACAATAGCTTTCAGGCTTTAGAGTTTACACAGTTTAGTATGAATTCAAAAAATTGAAATCTAGAGATTTTTTGATTTTCGAACGTCAAGTGCTACTGTTCTGGTACAAAATATCGGGGCTGTGAAAGAGAAACACCGGTGACCGCGGCTGACGGTCCCACAACGACATCGGCAATCGAATTTCAAACGTTGCTGTTTCAAGGGGGTCATAACTTCTGATATTTTTGTAAAATGCAATTTCGAGTTTGGTGATTACTCTGGTAAACGCCTACCTTAACCTGAATTACATTTTGTTTTTCACTGTATTTCGTCGATATTTCTGTTAATTTCCTACCAAACAAGTCGGAAAAAACAGTTTTAGAAAGTGAAAAAATTAATACGGAAAATTATAATAGTTTTAGTCTAAAAAACGTTTAGACTACGGTGTTTGTCGCTGTGGGACCCTCGGCCACGGCCTCAAGCTTTTCTCTTCTACAACTCTGATTTTTAGTACCAGAATAATGAAAATTATAATTTTCGAAACTGATAAGAAATTATTCAGTTGGATATTTTTTTTGAAATTTCATTAGCTGTAAGGTTTTCGGAAATGATTGGGTGAATTGATACAAAACTTTACTGCTTCAATTTTTTGATTTCAATGAAACAGAAAAAGTTTGATATTACGACAGAAATGGTCCTTTAAGTTTGTTAGGCATAAATTCGAAAATGTTCGAAATCTTGATTTTTTTTTAATTTTTTGATTTTCAAACTTTTAGTCCTATTATTTATTGAATTTCAATATTTGTACCATTTCCCCTTTTTTCAGGTGATTCTTTGAGAAAAAAAATAACGACATTCTTCCAAGGAGAACGTTTTCTAGGTGAAAAAATCGCCCAAAAATTTTGAAGGTACAACGATTCGAGGGTACAACTGGGTACAACTGATTTAGGGGTACAAAATTAGTGATTAGCGGGTAAAAAATGCCTGGGCACGCTCTCCCACAGAACAATTCCGAACTGCAAATTAATTTTTGATCTACAGAAGAAAAGTTTGGGACGATCACAATTGCAGGTCAAAAACCATAATTTCAGAATTTTTATCTGATTTTGTGGTGTTCCAAGATGATTCAAATAATTCTTAATAAATTAATTAGTGGTTATAGATTCATGTATGGTCGTTTTCCGGACGAAAAAATGTCAAAAATGGTCATTTTGAAAGTTTTTTACAGAAAAAATCTATCTCCTCTTTCAGTTTTTGACATTTCTAGGAGTTCTATAGCTCAAAAAAATCGCAGTTATTTTCTCTACATTTTCTATGGACGAATTTTTAATTCGTCTGATAAAACTGTTTTATAATCAAAAAACAACGCAAATGCTATTTTGTGCAATTTCATGAGGTTTTTGAATTATAAAAAAAGTTTTATCAGACAAATTAAAAATTCATCCATAGAAAATGTAGAGAGAATAATTGCGGTTTTTTTGAGCTATAGAACTCCTAGAAATGTCAAAAACTGAAAGAGGAGATAGATTTTTTCTGTAAAAAACTTTCAAAATGACCATTTTTGACATTTTTTTCTTCCGGAAAACGACCATACATGAATCTATAACCACTAATTAATTTTTTAAGAATCATTTGAATCATCTTGGAACTCCACAAAATCAGATAAAAAATTCTGAAATTATGGTTTTAGACCTGCAATTGTGATCGCGCCAAACTTTTCTTCTGTAGATCAAAAATTAACTTGCAGTTCGGAATTGTTCTGTGGGAGAGCGTGCTGGGTAAATTTTATTTTCCGTACCACTGATTGTGAGTTGAAATTCTTATCTAAACAAAGCTGCGAAGCATTTAGAGACTTAGAGAGGAATTTCAATCCAGAAGTACAAAAAATAAAACTTGCTGGAAAATTCTGTCCCTGCGAATCATGGACTTTGTACCCCTGAATCACTTAAACCTTATTGTATCCCCGAATTTTTTGTTCGAAAAATCACAAAATAATTGTCATAAATATAATTTTGTCTTTTCCTATATCAGAAAAACTGTTCAAAATGACAAATTTCATCGTCATGAATGATCATGAAGCAGATTACTGAAGAGAACCTTTATGTGACATGAGAGTTTTATGAAACTGAAAATTTATTTGAAAATCTGCCTTGGCTACCGTACACAATCCTTTCCATCGACAACAACACCTCATAAAATAACCCTTTTCTCATCCCTTGTCTCTTCCGTCGCTTCCTCTCCGTACATCCCATAAATCACTCCATCCGAAATTACTTCTCACTCTCTCCAACAATGTTTTCATCAAAATATTTTTTGCAGCGTTGTCACAAAGAGGGAACTTTGGTCAGTCTCAAACACTTCGGATGGGATAAATTCGTGATGGAACCCAGAACAATCGAAACGTCGTTCTGCAAAGGAAAATGTGCGAAACCAATGTTGGCAAGTGGAAAGGCATCGAATCACGCTATGCTCCAATCACTGTTCGCCGCGGAGCCAGTGTGTTGTGCACCGACTAATTTGAAATCGCTCAACTTTTTGTATAGGTAAGGGAATTAAGAACAAAAAAAAACAAACTTCAAAAAAGCAGTTTGTTAAAAACAGCTGATTGAAACAGAAAAAAGTGTTTCTTTTTGGTTTGGAATCTACAGTACCGGTCAACTGATTATAGCTATTTTTAGTAGCGAAAGGCCATATTTGAATGTCCAAAAAATATAGTAGATTTTGTTCAATGAGACTGAAAATTTTTAAATATACTAAACAAAAATAGAGCTTCAATGTTGTATTTGCCAACTGTTTTGTAAAATTTAGCCCAAGCGAGATATGCAGCTTGAGAGGAAAAAAAACCAAGTGCCATCATCGGTATCTCTTTTTTTCAACCAAAAATTTTGGATTTCCCGGAAAACGCTATCGAAAATACAAGTGGCGCTCAGAAATTGTTCATAAGAGAAAAGGATTTCCTAGTCCCCGGCCATGCATCACCATTCTTCAAAAACACATTCTACATTTTTCACCTAAATTTTCTGAAGATTGGCCAATCTTATTGTTTATCAAATTGGCAAAGTGTAATTGAAAAATAGAAGGAACAGCGAAAAATGAAAAAAAAAGTTAAATAGGCTCCAAAAACATTGTGGCCGTGTTGCGATGGACTAGGATTTTCGGAACCTCTTTTGAACGATTTTCTCCATATTTAATTAAAATTATTTGTTGAATATGCGATAAGATAAGTACATCAATTTTTCAATTCATAATTTTTTTCTCAGAAAAATGAAACATTCATTTTTTCTATTTCGGTTTTATCTTTTTTTTTAGATTTAAAAAATTACACACTTTAATGAAAATGTGTTCTTTTTACCTTCGATATTGAATTTTTTGAAGTTAGAAAGCAACTATCAGACGCATAAAATCAACAAATAAGACACTAAGTTCCCGAAACAGTTAAAAATTTCTATTTCCAATTTTTTCAGAGACGAAAAAGGACGTACAGTAATCCGCAACTACTCAAAGATGCTCATCGGCTCGTGTTCTTGCCTTTAAATTAATATGTTTTCAAACTAATTCCAGTAGTCTTGCCTTCTCCGTTTATCTGTACATCCCTCTCTACCTCTGCTTACCACACACCAGATTATATTCTTTCATAATACGAATTCACCAATGAATCTCATTTTCTCTTATTTTTCATTTTTTTTTCTACAAACTCAAAAATATTATTACTGCTGCAATTGTTTGATTTATTTTTAGTCTTTTGACTATTTCAATTTTCCTTCCTAGTATGGAGTACTAAATTCCCAGAATTTGTTTAACCTAAACCCTTCCCTCTACTCACCTAATTAAAATTCAAAACGAGCCATCTGAATAAAGTCGAGCATTGAATTATCACGCAATCCGTTGTTTTGTTTACTCAAGGTTTTGCATAATGGGTGGAACCATGAGAAGGACCATAACCAAGAAGAGTAAATAAATCAGTCAGTCATTTCGAAAAGAGATAAAGATGAACTCGGTGAGCTGTCTTCTAATACTTGCTATCTTCTACAGTAACCTACAATCTTCAAGTGGACAAATTTTCTATGGTAAGCAGTTTGGGAATTCTGATAGTGAGAGTGTTATGTCCCAAATCCGATAGTCATCAATTTTTTAAAAACTGGCTATCATTAAAAAATAGTCGAAACAGAAATTCTTGCGACTTTAAACTATTCGTTTTTTTCCTGTTTTAATGTTCCCACATATCGAATTTCTGGGCACAGAACACAGTAAACTGTAACAGATCTTCGGAATTTACGATTCGCTCAGTTGAAATCTATGGAGCTTTAAGACCCACAAAGCTCATGGGATCTAACTTTTGTGATATGATCTCACTGATTGCGACTGTGCGAATTGTAACCTTCGAAGTTATTTAGCTATAAATTATTTGAAAATCCCGTCATCTATAACAAACACATGAAACTGATTCTTGCGACTTTAAAGTGTTCGTTTTTTCTGTTTCAATGTTTCCAAATACGGGATTTCTGGGCAAGATGTACGATTCGCAAAGTTGAAACCTTTCTTATCAAAAAAAAAATGTTTCAAAAAACTGTGAAATTTTTGTGACGTTTTTTTTCTGTTCCTCTCAGTTTGTTCAAGTTAGGAAGACATTAAAAAATTGCTTGCATGCTTAATTTTGGAGCTGTCGTAGCGATTTGGTGGTACAAAAGCTACAGTTCGGGGTAAAAAAATTCGACAGTCCTTTCCAGGATTTTGGCAGCCCCCGGTTTGCAGATTTTATACCCCTCGCTTCGTACCTTAAAATATTCATTTTTGCGTTAAAGTGTATGTACAGTGATCGTTGTTTGCATCGTTCACCAGTTTGCATGTCTACCGTACCCCATTTGTATACTTCATACGCTGAATGCGACCGCGAACTCAACCGGTAGCGGCATCTATATTACATCCTCAAGATCAATTTCCAGAAAACCAAGAAAAATTTTTTCAGGTTTCACTAGCTCCAAATATTTCTTAACTTTAATTAATGATATTTTCAAGTATGTTCACGTTTTCTGACTAAACATTTTTCAGAAGACGTGAAAATGTACAGCTGTCGATGCCTCGAAAAGGATCAAACAAAACATTTGATGTCTTCCCTAACCAGTGGGATTCCTATAAATGCAAACCGTCCAATTTGGAAATCATTTCAAAGAGAGCAACCAACGTTAACGACTAATTTACAGAGCAAGGTAATAGTTTGTACATTCATCTTTTTAAACGAGTTAAATTCTGAAATAGTCATAAATGAGAGCAGAGAAACAGTACTATTATTTTGAGACAGGCTGTTGTTACATTTACAAGAATCTGACTTAATTTTCAAAGGGATTTGTACAGTTGTTGAGAACTATTACAGTTTCATGATTCTGGCAAATAGCTTCTGCCGTTTTTTTGTGGTTATTGCCTCAGATTTTGTAGGTTTCGGTAGTTTTTGTTCTGGAGTTTTCGCCACAAACGTTTCTCTTACCATTCTAGTCATTCTAGTGCTGTCACCTCAAAATTTGGTCATTAAACCCAAAAATAACCGTTTCGAAACCTAAAGATAGTTAGTTGACAAAATGTTGCTGATAATCAATTCTGTTCATCGAATACATAAAAATAATTGAACTTAAAAAAAGCTAGCTCACTAGATACAATAAAAATGATGAAATTTTCAGATCCAATACCTCAAACAATGGCTTGCCACTTTAACCTTGGACACTCATACAGTACCTCCAACCACTACCACCACGACTTCTAGACCAACAACTACTGAGGATCCAGTTGCACTTCCATTCGAGGAAGCAGCTGCTGGAAACAATGTCTTCTTGAAGTTGGCATACAAAATGATGGCCAAGTATTTCAAGAAATTTCGTAGGTTTTTTGAATAATGGTTTTGGTAGACATGCTACAGTTATAGGCATTTGCCTCGCCCTACGATCCTTGTTGGATTTTTCTGAAAATTTCAGTAACTTAAAATAACTGTAGTGTTTTATTCTCGCAAGATTTTCAGTTGCTTCAAAAACAGAAAAAATCTGTAATCAAAAAATGTTGGTGATACTGATGATGTTCACAAAATCTGCTAAATTTTCAATTTTCAGGCGGCGAATGGACAATTCTTGATCGTTTCGAGTGCGTGTGTGATGGAGACCTCATCGAGCTACTCAAGTCGAAAACGTTCATCAATATTCAAATTGCACATGATTGACTTTTTGTTATTTTCTCATTTTCATTCAACTAGAGGATCCAACAAAATAAATTTCTAATTGAAAATTTACAACTTTGGTGAAACTGGAAAGTTCAGCTCTTTGAAATTTATGTTATAGTTCAGTGGCTTGAATATGGTCAAGCCTCTGATAGCGATTACCAACGCTATTGGAAACAGATCAGCGGTCATTTTTTCATCAGAGTACTTCTGGGATATGTAGTATTCAGCGGCCTACCGGCCCTAGTAGATTCTGGTTCTCTGAGCTTATTTCGGAAGGAATCGACAGTTTGGAACACAACAACCTACCTACGGCCCTGCGGTCCACGACAGGCCTGTTTCCGAGGTCCTTGGGGATTACCAATCAGAAATTTTCGGAAAAAATTATAACCGTTTCAAATTTCTCATAAATTTCTATTCCGATGTTTGTAAATGTTTTTAGGTCGTTAAACAAGCCAGTTTCTCATGCTCCCTAATAGTTCTCATAATGTTGAGTCCACTGTCTTCACATAGAGAATGGGAAAGTACAATGTTTCCCTTAAAGGAGGGAGGTTTCAGGTTTTCAGATCCAATATCTGAAACAGTGGCTTGCCACTCTAATCTTTGACACTTATACAATACCCCCAACAACCTACACCACGACTTCTAGACCAACTACTGAGGATCCCGGTGCACGTCCATTCAAAGAAGCAGATGCTGGAAGCAATGTCTTCTTGAAGTTGGCATACAAAATGATGGCCAAGTATGTCAAAAAATTTCGTACGTTTTTTCATAGTTTTGGTAGAAATACTGCGGTTATAGGCATTTGCCTCACCCTACGATCCCTGCTGGATTTTTCTGAAAATTTCAGTAACTTAAAATAACTGTAGTGTTTTATTCTCGAAAGGTTTTCAGTTGTTTCAAAAACAGAAAAAAATCTGTAAACGAAAAAATGTTGGTGATGTTCACAAAATCTGCTAGACTTCAAATTTTGGCTCCGCGTCACTTCGAAACCGCAACACTTCGAAACCTGTCATTTCGAAACCTGTCATTTCGAAACCGGTCATTTCGACACCGAAAAAAAACACGGTCACGTGAAAATGAAATTAAAAATTGGAAATTTTCAGCCTTAAAATTGAAGAAAAAAATTGCAGCGTGCAAATTTCGCAGTTTCGAAATGACTGGTTTCGAAGTGTCGCGGTTTCGAAACGACTGGTTTCGAAACGTCGCGGTTTCGAAGTGACGCGGAGCCCAAATTTTTAGGCGGCGAATGGACAATTCTTGATCGTTTCGAGTGCGTGTGTGATGGAGACCTGATCGAGCTACTCAAGTCGAAAACGTTCATCAATATTCAAACTGCACATGATTGACTTTCTCTTATTTTTAATTGTAGTCATATTTCGAGGTTGATTGCAATGAAAACATTTACAATATTATAATGTTACACAACAAAGCTGAAACCGAAATATTTATGATTTCTGAAAATTAGATCAGAAACCGTGACTTGGATACATTCGTCTCTCTGATAGCGATTACCAAGGCTATTGGAAACGTGTCTGCGGTTTTTGATTAGAGTTATTCTGGGATGGGTAAGGCCTTGGCGTCCTAGAAATCCTAGAAGATCCTGGTTAACTGAGCTTATTTCCGAAAGAAAGGAGGATTTGGTCAACGAAAACCTGGGCCGCGGTCGACCACGGGCCCGTTTCTAAGGTCCTTGGCGATTACCCAGAAAACATTTTCGAAAAAAAATTAAAACAGTTTCCTGCTTTTCATAAATTTCGATTCTGATGTTTCTAAATATTCATCAACTAGTTCTTTGAGTGAATACAGTTTAGTTTCCCATGCTCCCCCATAGTTCTCCTAATGTTGAGTCCACTGTCTTCACATAGGGAATGGGAAAGTGCACTGTTCCCCTCAAAGAAGGGATGTTTCAGGTGGTCTCCCCTTTCTTCTTTTTCCTATGCACGGTGCTGGGGACGCAGGTTCTCATGAATCTGTCATGGATATTATGATGGGCTGGGGCGGAGCATGGGGTACAAGTGCCACCATGGGAATTTCAGAAAACACGTGGATCTAGTGGTCAACATGTTCTAGGTCTAGATCATATTGGTTTACCTCATTTTAACTTGTGTCTGTTCCTTGATACACTTCTTTACCTTTTCTACAACCCCTAGATATCAGTGTAACTTTAACTATGCTAATTCCTGATGATCCGCCGTTTTCTTTCCAATTTGGACATTTCCTTGGGCGAGAATAAACAAAATTGGAGAAACTGTGAACCTTATAACTTTAACTGACCAATTTTTTATGGTTTTTGTAAAAGATATGAAAAGTTGAAAGTCGATGAAATGTTCATCACAATATCAAAATTATTTTGTCAGTTGAGCATTTATTGTTATCTTTTACAAGAAACAAGATACATTGAATCAATGTTAGAGTTACGTTTATTTACAGGATTCACGGTTTCTTGAATACTGTAACAGAATCCTGTAAGAAATTCTCTGCTAGTTCGGTGTTTAGAATAAAATTTTGTAGAAATTTAAGGTGAGATGAGTTACAAAATATTAATTCGATGTTTGAGATTCCTGTGTGGACCAGGAAAAAACCTCCATACCTGCCACACCATTTTTTGTATTGTAGATCAAAACTAAACTTGTATTTCCAATTTCTTCTGTGGGGTCCAAATACATATGTGGTACCAGCATCGTTTTCTGTCAATAGTCTAGCGTATTTTTCTTATTTCCTCTACAGTATATCACTTACTTCTATCATCTACCTACTATTTCAGGTAAATCATGTCCGTTGTTGCTCACACCGTCAGCTACAAGCAAGCCGTTGAAAGGAAACGACAGGCGGACTGCAAAGCTCTCATTGAGAAAATGAAAGAGTTGCTGGTCCTGAAAGGATATGCACTGCCAGGGGAATTGACAAGGTGAGCGTTCAGTATTGTTTTTAATTGAGGGGATTTCGAAAGATCTTAAAATTTAGGGGCATTTCATTGGTCGTCTTGTTGTCCGAGGGTACATTGGGTTTGTAAGGGGATAGGTACATAGGATTTTGAGAGATATTTAAGGACGGCAATTAAAGAATTGCAGAAAAATGTAGTTTTTATGCACATTACCATCGTTTGGGTATACGGTATACTCCAAGATTCTATGTACTCGGTGACTCAACTCACCCTAATTTAACCTATGATAATGTACCTCTTGTTGAAGGAAATTGTTCTAATCCTGTTTTCATTTTAGCCAAGAGCTCACCCTTTTCAAAGTGGTGCACACAATCACCGGAGAAAACTTGCTCCCGAAATTTGAAGAAAAATTCCTCAAAAAAAATGTAGAGTGTAAGATGTCGAGACAAGAGCGAGGAGAATTGAAGAAGGAGCGAGAGCAATACAGAAGACAAAAGATAGAGGCATCCATCAACCTTCTGGAGGAGTTCATTTTTGCCAAAGGGCTCACGGGAGGCAGAAAGTAAGTGGAATTTAATTCAGGAATTCTGAAGAAGTTGAACCTTCCAGTATCCATTTTCTCCGATTTTCAGCTTACACCTGACTCGCGTGCGAACCCTCCAACTGACGCTGGATTATCTCCAGACCCTCGAAATCTTCCCTTCTCCACCAATCACTCCACAACTTCTATCATTCTCTATTGAGCGCCTTCTTGCTCCAGAAGACAAGAACACTGAATATTTAAAATCTCTGAATCGCATTTTTACTATTTATTCTGCCTATATTAGCTCCCAGTCACCATCTCTTTGATTCCATCTTAATATTTTTAATTTTTTTTTTTAAATTTTAATAAATTATATTAATTTATAGCATTTCTGAAAACAAAGAATCTATTGAACACAAAGCTTTGTTGTATGAATAAATTTAATAATAAGTGAATTGAAATTATTATTTGCTTCAATATTTGATGAGACGATTGAGTGCTTGAAGCTTAACAGGAAGTACTTGAAGCTTAATTGATATTGTTCATATGTTTATTGATTTTTTTGTCAAACAAATGTATTTAGAAGTTTATTAGCATGATGAAGAAATTCATTTATAATATCAAAAGTCCAAAATAATGTTCCAGAATCGTTTGCTTTTTCTGAAAACTCTGAATATATTGAGCATAAAATGAAATCAACTTTAGTGATTGAAACATTTTTCACCACTAAGCTACGCGGTTGTAAACGACAATTGTCATCCCAAAAACCAAAAACTTCTTTCAATAAAAAAATAATCAAATTTAATAACTTTGAGAAATAAAGTGACCTAAAAATTACTAACATCAACAATATTATACACGTATTAATGTTTCAGTTCGAGTGGTTTAACATTTTAAGACAAGAATGTAGGTGACAGTATATTAGCTGCCAATGCAGAATCTGTGAAAATAGATGGGGATAAAACAGATGGAGAAAGAACGACACCAGATAGAACAGTCGGAGAGACAACATCCGGACACAAAACGAAAGGAGAGAGAACCAAAGGAGACATTACGTATGGATTGATTACGTTTGGAGAAAGGACGTATGGAGAGAATACGTATGCATTGAATACAGCAGCTGATAACACATTGGGTCCAAGAACGTATGGAGAAAAGATGAGAGGGTTGCCGACCTGAAAGAAAATAATAATTTTCAAAGTTTGTTAAACACCTATCCTCCTAAAAATTCACAAATACTGATAATCACTTCTGTAAGAAAATAGTAGCTCCCGTAACATGAAAAACCACAGTTCACAAAATTTTTCATGTTTCCAAAACTTTTTAATTAGTACATAAACCAGTTTTTTATAAAATTTCGAGAAAAACAAACCAAACTTTTCCTTTTCAGACTGCTTGTTAGTTTGTCGTCGTGAATTTTCATCAATTCGAGGTTTACCCCGTTTAGATTTTTAATGAAAAAACCGATTCTGAGGCAATATGCAAGGAAGTGGGAAACCGTTTTCCGGTGTTTGGAAAATGATTTTCTGAAAGTCTGACAAGGATTTTCACTGTAATTATATTCGT